AGATCAATCTGCAGCGATACCAAATCTACCAAATCAGATATAGGTGGGTACAGGTACTGCAAAGGACCTACTATTCATACAAGTTGATGATGTACATCAATCTCTCACTCAAGATGTTGTAGCAACTCTACCAGCATTCCATGCGGTCATGGTTGTGACACAACAAGCCAGTTCAGTGGTAATGGCAAGAAGTCGACCTGGAACATATTTATCGCACAATCAGAAAAAGACAGAAACATTTGTTGTCAAAGTGTACAATCCAGCATCGACTGGAACTAGCATTAATACACTTACAGCTGACATGTTCCACAGAGTTGGAGACCTAGAGGAACTCCCACCACACAACCTCTACTCAGATGTCAGCACCAGTGCATCACGTGGTGTTCTGCACACAAAGGAAAGGCTGACATTCCACCACCAGAAGAGTATAGGTGGTCATCTACTGAGGATGTCATAGAAACCATCCCAATGAGCCAGAAACGAATGCCAGCACTGTGTCTAGAATTGCTCACATGTAAATGCACAACAGGCAGATGCTCCTCATCCAGGTGTTGCTGCGCCAAGAACATGTTCCCTTGGATGCAGTTGTGCTATGTCATGCCTAAACAGAAACAACTTACCTACCTTTCCAGAAGAGATGGACTCTGACGGTGACTAGAGGTGACATTATTTCACAGCCCTTGACTCTGTGATGTAATCTTTAATACTTCATAATACTACAAGTATTCTCATGTTTTTTTTCACTCGAACGATAAACTAGTGAAATGCTCAGACAAAAGTGCAATTTATCTACAATTTGTGAGTGAAACGATGTCCATTTTATTAAAATACGACTTTGGAGGTTGGTTGGTGTTGCTAGAGAAATTAGCTTTCGATATATCATTTGTTGTATTATTGGGGGATAAGATTACCACAGAAGTCAGTGAATAAGGTACATCATTAAAAAGACAATGTAAAAAAGCTTCCAAATGATATATTACATGACCATGTTGTAGAACTAAAGTGCTGTATATCTACAATTTTGAGTGAAAATATGTCAATTTCAATATAAATCTAAATTTGGGTATGGGTTGAAGTCACGAGAGAAATTAGCTTTCAATATTTCCTTTTTTCATTGTTGGGGGTCAATTTACCACAGGAGTCAGTGAATAATGTACATCATTGAAAAGACAATGTAAAAAGCTTTCATATGATATATTACATGACCATGTTGAAGAACTATATAAGATCTTGTTTTTAAAAACAGGTCAAAATGGCGGCCATCTTGAAATTCAAGATGGCCACCATAAATGCTCACAGAAAAACTTGAAACATAATTTTTCTTTCTGAGTTTACTATTTTGGTGTGTTTAGGCATTGTTGCAATTATCCCACTCATCCACTACAGCAACATCATCTACCACCATAACTTAATAAGCAATTTTCATCAAAATTGGTTTTTGGGGGGTGGAGTAACATTGTATACAATATCTCAACCCCTATGTAATATGTTTTCATTTTGTTTTTTGTATAGGATAGTACAATGGTTAAGGCAGATTTTAATACCCAGTTATAGTGGTTTTATTGTCACAATTCAATGGAATTAGTGTTTTACCTACTCACAAGATTTGAAAATGAAGTAAAAAAACATGATTTTTACCAAAGTTTCCACTGAGAATTAGAATAACAGTTAAATGAAACAAAATGTTTGCCAAATTCAGATAACCGAACCTATTACCTGTAATCAAAGACTTAATTTGGATAATTTAATGACTTAATGAAAATGTTACAGCCAATTTTGTCAAAGTATGCATTTTTCCTTCAATTTATGCAATTTTGACCCCCTGAAAATTCCTGCACACACTTGCAAGCTTACTACCCAATGAAAATTGTGTACAGATACCTCCTTTATACAATAGACAAGGTTTAAGGTATACAGGGAAATGTGGGAACGAAAATCTTGTTTTTCACCCCTGGCCAACTGACTATAATTAGCTGACGTCTATCATGTCTATGTTTGAATGTACAAAATATTGCTGAAACAATAAGATCTGGCAACTAATTAGCTGACTTCTATCACGTCTATGTTTGAATGTACCAAATATTGCTGAAACAATAAGATCTGGCAACTAATCAGCTGACTACTATCACGTCTATGTTTGAATGTACCAAATATTGCTGAAACAATAAGATCTGGCAACTAATTAGCTGACTTCTATCACGTCTATGTTTGAATGTACAAAATATTGCTGAAACAATAAGATCTGGCAACTAATCAGCTGACTTCTATCACGTCTATGTTTGAATGTACAAAATATTGCTGAAACAATAAGATCTGGCAACTAATTAGCTGACGTCTATCACGTCTATGTTTGAATGTACAAAATATTGCTGAAACAATAAGATCTGGCAACTAATTAGCTGACGTCTATCACGTCTATGTTTGAATGTACAAAATATTGCTGAAACAATAAGATCTGGCAACTAATTAGCTGACTTCTATCACGTCTATGTTTGAATGTACCAAATATTGCTGAAACAATAAGATCTGGCAACTAATCAGCTGACTACTATCACGTCTATGTTTGAATGTACCAAATATTGCTGAAACAATAAGATCTGGCAACTAATTAGCTGACTTCTATCACGTCTATGTTTGAATGTACCAAATATTGCTGAAACAATAAGATCTGGCAACTAATTAGCTGACTTCTATCACGTCTATGTTTGAATGTACCAAATATTGCTGAAACAATAAGATCTGGCAACTAATCAGCTGACTACTATCACGTCTATGTTTGAATGTACCAAATATTGCTGAAACAATAAGATCTGGCAACTAATTAGCTGACTTCTATCACGTCTATGTTTGAATGTACAAAATATTGCTGAAACAATAAGATCTGGCAACTAATCAGCTGACTTCTATCACGTCTATGTTTGAATGTACAAAATATTGCTGAAACAATAAGATCTGGCAACTAATTAGCTGACGTCTATCACGTCTATGTTTGAATGTACAAAATATTGCTGAAACAATAAGATCTGGCAACTAATTAGCTGACGTCTATCACGTCTATGTTTGAATGTACAAAATATTGCTGAAACAATAAGATCTGGCAACTAATTAGCTGACTTCTATCACGTCTATGTTTGAATGTACCAAATATTGCTGAAACAATAAGATCTGGCAACTAATCAGCTGACTACTATCACGTCTATGTTTGAATGTACCAAATATTGCTGAAACAATAAGATCTGGCAACTAATTAGCTGACTTCTATCACGTCTATGTTTGAATGTACCAAATATTGCTGAAACAATAAGATCTGGCAACTAATCAGCTGACTTCTATGTACATGACATAGTTTGTTGCATGAGGTGCACTGATGGACAGATAAGCCTTAATTTTCACGATTAACATGGCTTGTTGCATGAGGTGCACTGATGGACAGTTATGCCTTAATTATCACAATTAACATAGCTTGTTGCATGAGGTGCACTGACGGACAGTTATGCCTTAATTATCACAATTAACATAGTTTGTTGCATGAGGTGCACTGATGGACAGTTATGCCTTAATTATTCCGATTAACATAGTTTGAGATTTCAGCAAGTTCAGCCAACATAACATAGTATTTCCAAAAAACTACATCATAATTGTGATAATTAAGGCATAACTGTCCATCAGTGCACCTCATGCAACAAGCCATGTTAATCGTGAAAATTAAGGCTTATCTGTCCATCAGTGCACCTCATGCAACAAATTATGTTAATCGTGATAATTAAGGCATAACTGTCCGTCAGTGCACCTCATGCAACAAGCTATGTTAATTGTGATAATTAAGGCATAACTGTCCATCAGTGCACCTCATGCAACAAGCTATGTTAATTGTGATAATTAAGGCTTATCTGTCCATCAGTGCACCTCATGCAACAAACTATGTTAATCGTGATAATTAAGGCATAACTGTCCATCAGTGCACCTCATGCAACAAGCTATGTTAATTGTGATAATTAAGGCATAACTGTCCATCAGTGCACCTCATGCAACAAACTATGTTAATTGTGATAATTAAGGCATAACTGTCCGTCAGTGCACCTCATGCAACAAACTATGTTAATTGTGATAATTAAGGCATAACTGTCCATCAGTGCACCTCATGCAGGAATTCAGTAAGCTTTGTTGATATTCTGATAGTCAAGGTGACCACAAATGAAATATTATTATTGTTAATTATTTTGTACACCATTAACATGATTAAACATGTTAAGGTATCAAATATAAGTTGAAGAAGTCATTACATCCGGGCATTTATGGTGACTGTTATTTTGTTGTGTGAAACAGTTACTTTTCATGTCGCCACCATCTATATTACAAAGTTGTATTATCATGATTATATATCCAGGGTATTATGATAAATGCCACAGAACTTTTCACTACCATAGCTTTATTTTGAGACCACTTCATGCTGAAAATAGCTGTCCAGTCAACTTACACTCATGGAAGACGGAATTTCTGTGTGGAGTTATGACAAGGCAGGGGTAAACATATTTAGCCCACTAGTCCTTACAATGACAACATATAGCAAAACCCTTAAAAAATGGCAAATTTCTTCTAGTCCTTATAGGGGCGGTCAGGTAGCCTAGTGGTTAAAGCGTTCGCTCGTCACGCCGAAGACCCGGGTTCGATTCCCGACATGGGTACAATGTGTGAAGCCCATTTCTGGTGTCCCCTGCCGCGATATTGCTGGAATATTGCTAAAAGCGGCGTAAAACCATACTCACTCACTCACTCTAGTCCTTATGATACCTTAACTATTAAACAGTTCGAGGTGTCACTTCCAAAACAAAGCTATGGTGATGAATGGGTCCAGGGTATTTGTCATTCATGTCAGCTGAACTGAGATTTAATACACTGGATGATGTATTTGTGAACAGTATTGTTGTTACTAAATCATAGACCACTAAACATTTCTGTATTCTATCTGTACTGCAGCTAAGTTCATTTCTCCATTTCAGCCCCATCAGTTTGACGAGTGTCGGTTTGACGTGAGCGTCAATGACAGTCTGTGGTACCTGCGGGCAACCCACGAAGATGAGCGCCAACAGTGGGTGGACGCTATCGAGCTGCACAGGGTAAGACACAAAAGTTGGATTTGGGTGTCTTGACTTCAGATCCACTGACAATAAAAATTCGGAATTGTGGGGGAAGTAATCATTCCTGTTTCAAGCTTTGTTTATTACCATGGTTACTACTGTTTCTGATAATAACACCACATAAAACTGTGTGTATACCTAGCAGTGTGTGGCTTTGTTCCCATGTAAAATGATGTGAAAGCTATAAACAGATTTCACAAGAATGTCAAATGTGACACTTTTCCTAGCCCTATTATTTACGCCATTTTGTTGTTGTCTAATTGTACTTTATTTCAATCACCAACCCAACATGCCCAAAGTGATGAGAGAAAGAAAAGGCCTAACAAGACACATGCTGTTACATGGTTAAAGTCAGACCTGTATGTGTGTCATATTCCCATATTAATGGCATCACTGCACACCACAGATACTCTATGAGAGTCAGTGTTGTTCTATACTGCTTCTCTGGTCTAGTGGATAGAGCGTCTGCCCCGAGAGCTGAAGGTCAGTGGTTCAATCCCGTCACACACACATGTGCATGTACGCCACTATGTAAGTGTAATAATCTTGAATGTGACGTTAAGCCCTATATTATCTCACCTCTTTTTTGCTGGCTGCCTTTAAATAATCAAGTCTGGACTAGAAACGTTAGCAGTTGACAGCATAAGTGTTGACAGAAAACCTTTCTTTGTGTCACTATACCCCAGGCAAGGCTAACAATGAACAAACATTGCTTAACCATTTACGGACCATAATTGTTTTTCCTTCGTTAGCAAACCGAGTCAGGTTATGGAAGCGAGAACAATCTGCGTCGCCATGGCTCCATGTTATCTCTCACCTCCGGCACCAGCCTTTCCACGGCATCAGCGTCATCATTCAAGGTAAATACTTTGCTCACATTCAAGGTCACCTGCTCATCAAACTGTTATTTTCACGAGTATTACAACACACATCACGTTGTGAGAGATGTATACAAATTATCAATATACTCGAGGTAATATATATGTGACAGTACATTGACTTGTTTTGTATTGAGGTTGTTATTGTTTGAGTTGACTCGAAGTATGATGTATTATGTGAGAGTACATGGGACTTGTCTTGTATTGAGGTCGTTATTGTTTGAGTTGACTCGGGGTATTAAATATGTGCGAGTACATAGGACTTGTCTTGTCTTGCAGCGAGGTCGGGGGTTGCGGGAAAAGCTGATGGAGATGGAGACATTTCGGGATATCCTGTGTCGGCAGGTGGATACGCTCCAGAGCTACTTCGACAGCTGTGCCTCTGCTGTGTCACATGGGGTGGTTCAGGAACGTAAGAAGTTTACACTTACTTTAAATACATAGGGATCTGATATGGATTATTTCACAATAAGGATTACTTCATGGTATGAATTAGTTTATGACAAAGATTATTTTCAGATTTGGATTATTGCATGATATAGATTATTTTCAGATACAGATTATTTCAGAGTATTTCAGGCATGTCTGGAAACAACTCTACACAGATATGGCCACCTACATTGATTACCGTACCTCAGTGGTAGGGACACAGGTGGCTTGGATGGTGGTACTGCTTTTCTCTGTCCCCATTAATGTTACTTGATGCAGGTTCATGAGTCATCCATGATGCATCACTGTATGTGTATAAGATTTTGTTGTGTTGCAGTGGCTGAGCCTGATGACATCGATGCTGATGTAGACATTGACAAGCCGGCCACACCTACAGAGGAGCCTCACCACACATTTGAGGGCTTCAAGGGTAGGGACCTTGGTGAGTTGGGGTCAGCCATGTTAAGATGTTAACAAAATATCCCTGAAACAGAATGCTGAGAGTGGCAAGTACACAATGACCTTCAGATGGAATGACAATCCCACTATGGACACTTTGAGTAAATATCTATGTTTTTATTATGTTCAGCTATATGTTAAAGATAAACAAGTGTCATGAATCTAGACTTTTATCTGATTGAAATCACTGATTGCGATTAGCTTGTTGGTGGAAGTGTGAGTAAATTGGACATGTATCTGACATCCGCAGCCTCTGTCCTACAACAACATGGTGGCCATGCTGTGGACTTTAAGGGAGAGGCCTTCACCTTCAAGGCTACAACGGCTGGCATCGTGGCCACACTCTCCCACTGTATCGACCTGATGCAGCAGAGAGAAGAGGCCTGGAAGAAGCGTCTGGAGAGGGTAAGTGCAGTGTTTGATACATGATCGTATCTCCAGCCCCTTCAGGTGCAGCGTTTGATACATGATCGTAACCCCAGCCCCTTCAGGTGCAGCGTTTGATACATGATCGTATCCTCAGCCCCTTCAGGTGCAGTGTTTGATACATGATTGTATCCTCAGCCCCTTCAGGTGGAAGTGTTTGATACATGATCGTATCCTCAGCCCCTTCAGGTGCAGCGTTTGATACATGATCGTATCCTCAGCCCCTTCTGGTGCAGTGTTTGATACATGATCGTATCCCCAGCCCCTTCAGGTGCAGTGTTTGATACATGATCGTATCCTCAGCCCCTTCTGGTGCAGTGTTTGATACATGATCGTATCCCCAGCCCCTTCAGGTGCAGTGTTTAATACATGATAGTATCCCCAGCCCCATCAGGTGCAGTGTTTGATACACGGTCGTATCTCCGGCTCCTTCAGGTGCAGTGTTTGATACATGATCGTATCCCCAGCCCCCTCTGGTGCAGTGTTTGATACATGATCGTATCCCCAGCCCCTTCAGGTGCAGTGTTTGATACATGATCGTATCCCCAGCCCCCTCTGGTGCAGTGTTTGATACATGATCGTATCCCCAGCCCCTTCAGGTGCAGTGTTTGATACATGATCGTATCCCCAGCCCGTTCAGGTGCAGTGTTTAATACATGATAGTATCCCCAGCCCCTTCAGGTGCAGTGTTTGATACATGATCGTATCCCCTGCCCCTTCTGGTGCAGTGTTTGAACTCAGTAATTGTTCTTACTTACAGGAAGTGGAGAAGAAGAAGAAAATCGAGGAAGCATACAAGTCATCAGAAAAAGTCAAACCTATTGTTGTTGGCGGACCAGACTATGAGGTATGTGCATTTGAGGTGACTGGTTAAAAGGACTTTATGGATATGAGAGGACTGGTGGACATGTTCCAAGCTTGGTGTAAGGAGTTGAAGTATTATTCAAATTCTTCTCCATTGTAGTAGGGTTTGTCTGTTTCCTATTTTCCTTTCTATGGATCTGCCTGTATTGATCATTGTCACCTCCTCCTGGTTGAAAGCTGCCTTGTTGACATGATGCCACATGGTAGTACCTGGTCTTATGTGCTGGACACAGGCCAAGCTAAGCGAGAGAGTCTCGGAGAGTCTCGGAGAGTAGATGGATGGGTGACCATGTTCATCATCTTATCTTTGGAGAGTTTCTAGGGGTTCAATCCTGAACACTGAACCATGTCATCACATGTGTCTCCTTTGACAAGTGACTTTGTTCAAACTATGCCTCCGTTCAGCCAGCAGTGAATTGGTACCTAATAGGATGAAAAGGTAATATGACTGTAACCTTATAGTGCCATATATGTCAGCTTGTAATTTCTACTCCCTTGTGAGCTAGGAATGAAATTAGCGTGCACACTGAACGAAGACTGTGGTAATAATTAGGGCTGCAATGAATACACTAAGAGGTGAATACGATTCATATCATGAACGAATATGAATATTTATTCACAAATACAATAACAAGTCAAGAGTTGATGTTTTATTTATAATATTCAGTGAAACAATAACAAATTAAATTATTTAACATGGTTTGTTAATTATTAATTTATTATGCATATATATACTGCACTAGTACTAGTATCTGCTGAAATGAGACAATGACCAGTAACCACAATATGCCCAACTAAATATAAAAGAGTGTTGTCTTTGAAGAAATCTATGCATATGATATGTTCTTATGGTTATTTTAAGGGTCAGGGTATGTAAATGCACATGACTGCATATTCATAAATATTCGATTCTAGTTACTACGAATAGCGAATTTAACTCATGAATTGATACGGATCGATTCACTGAATACGCGAGTGAATCGTAACAGCCCTAGTAATAATAACACAGCACCATGACCCTGATGAACATGCACTTTGTGACTGGGATCTGACGCAATATACATGTATATAGCATATAATGGATAGCCTTATCGATAGGATAAACCAATCCGATAAAAACGAGGTCACTGAGCAGGAACTACTTTTAAGCCCCATTACATCAATGTAATGTATGCTCAATCAATAAGCTATTGACTAACATCCCCAATAAGTTCTGGTGTGGGTTTCCTGATGTGTGGGTGTTCCTGTTGACAACTATTGCGCATTAATATGCTGCAAATCATTTGCACTATGTTATAGATGGGGCGGTTCACTCAAACATTGTATTCATACCTAGTTTCTAAAGTTACTTCTTTGAGTAAAAATTGATTGTTTTTAGAATGACATTATATGACAAAGAGAATCCAATTCGTAAATGTCAAATGTTAGAAATGGAAAAGGCTCACATAATACAAGTGTTATTCCTATCATATGATATTTGCCATTCAGAGACATGTGGGTAATAATCTCTATTTATCGTTACTATTTCTACGCTGCTGCCTTGATATAACAACTGCCATGTGTGTTCTGTGTTCCAGGAAGGACCGCACTGTATGATTACTGAGGATGAGTTCTACGATGCTGTGGATGCTACCTTAGATAAACTAGAGAAGGAAGAAGAAAAGGTACTCACTTTATCTGCTATTGTCAGGGATCTTATCATGTTTGACATGCAGCCCATGCATCCGACACAGGTTTTGTTTGTTTGTTTGATGTTTAACACCACACTCAGCAATATTCCAGCTGTATGACGGCGGTCTGTAAATAATCGAGTCTGGACCAGACAGTCCAGTGTTTGACATCATGAACATCGATCCATGCAATTGGGATACGATGACATGCATCAACCAAGTCAGCGAGGCTGTCCACCTGATCCTGTTATTCTCTTCTTATGACACATGTGACAAGCATAGTCGCTGAAGACTTATTCTACCCCGGATCTTCATGGGTCCCGACACAGGTACAGGAGTGTAGGAGGGCTGTGCTTCAATCACAGTTGACATCTGGAGTCACAGCTATTGATAGCTGAGTGAGTGAGTGAGTGAGTGAGTGAGTGAGTGAGTATGGTTTTACGCCGCTTTTAGCAATCTTCCAGCAATATCCCGGCGGGGAACACCAGAAATGGGCTTCACACATTGTACCCATGTCGGGAATCGAACCCGGGTCTTCGGCGTGACGAGCAAACGCTTTAACCACTAGGCTACCCGACCGCCCCCTTATTGATAGCTGAAACTTTGGTTGTGGAATGTGAGTGAATATTCACTCACTTTCTGACGAGCATGTAGAGAGGACTTTATTGGGATAGATATGTGCACAATGCGGGATACTTACGAGTAAAAAAAAATGGGTTTAGTCAAATAGCAGTGTGTAAGAAATAATTACATGAATGTTTCTCAATAAACAGCTATTTTTCATGTGTTACAGAAATCTTCAAGCCAGGCACCCATGAAAGCACCACCCAAGATATCACTTCTACCCAGCAACAAATACTATGAGGAGGTTTGTATGTTTTATAATTGTTTAATTGGGTGATAACATAGTGTACCTAAAGATTGATCTGTTTCTAAATCGATAATAAATTTGAAAGACTGGTGTGTGGAATATTTGGAAGATGTGTTTGGATTTACAAATAGATCCTGACTACGGCATTAAGGAGGATTCCAAATAAGTCTGTTAGAAACCACACTCAGGTCTTACTGATGGCAATGAGTGCCCAAAACTACTGCTCCAAACCTGTATCTTGCAGTTATTTTCAGTAAAAACAGGGTTTTATGCGGCACACAAATCTGCATCCAGTACGCACAAATGTAGAGAATGGATGCAGAACAAAATTATACTGCGTCCCTGAGGACGCACAATAACATTCATTGTACCTACAGCGCATCAAGATCAGTTATTGATGTTATGTTATTCCCCCAGTCAATCATGACCACTGTCCACATGATCATTGATTCATTCCAGGCTCTAAAATAATTATCTAAACGTTCAGAACGATACATCATTTCATTACCCTCATTGCGGACCCGTAACATTAATTATTGGGGTCCCCTGAACCCCCACTTTTGTAAGTCAAGGTAGAACACTGCAGTATAATGTAGTCTTTGTGTACACATTGATATACAGAAATGTAGCAGCTGATCTTACGAGACCAAAAGAAATTTCACTGGACTGTTTTGAAAATGTTTGCAGATCAACCGTGTGGTAAATGAGCACATGTACCGGCTGTACGAGAGGACATCGGATGGGGCGGACACGTGGACCTGCATTGCGGAGGATGGAGAGCTGCGTGTCTACAAGCGAGAGATGGAGATTGAAGGAGTTGTGGTGGATCCTCTCAAGGCCGTCACGACTGTCTCGGTAAGATCTCATGCAGTGGCCACACAACACTAAGAAATCAGTGTGTATCGAGATGAAATTTAATATGAAAGTATCTTTCGATAAAGGCAAATCTTATCTGGGGTTTCGTGGTGATATTGTAGTGAAATTCACTTAGTTTTGAGGGGTCAGCAAGCTCACAACTTTTGTACCTGTACCATGTACGTTACACTGATAACTACCTGTAAAGGGTAGGGTTGCAACAATACCTGCCTGTATAACATTGCTCTAGAATACAATTCATCATATCTAAATGAGTGAGTTCTGCAGTGCTCAAGGGTACAATATGATCTTAGCCTTCACATACTGGAAGATGATTATGACTTTTGTTTATCATTACCGTCTTACTAAAGCAGGTATTGTACAAAGTTTTATGGATACAGTAGCTCCTGTATTCAACCTCTTCCACAAGCAGGTGGACAAACTGATAGTTTTCCATGTCACATTTGATTGCACATACCATTGTCTTTAAGATTGGACAATGGATGGGGGATATAGATGACATCGTCTTCTTGTTCTTTCTGTATCACAATGTGTATCGTCTTCAAGCCTTAATGTTAATGATTAATGACACTGTTGCAGGGCATTACTGGACATGAGTTGTGCCACCACTTCTGGGACATCGATGTCAGGATGGAGTGGGAGGGTGAGTGAGTGAGTGCTGCAGCTGTGTGTGGAGCTATGGGCATACTGTTACTACTACACATGGTGGAGTCATGTTGTGCGAGGGATGCTTCCTGGTTTGTGCATGTACAGGGTAGAGATTAACCCTGAAAGTTAGTCCAGCAATATCACATTTGGCAGCAAGAATAGGTTTGTTTAGCACATTGGAAATGTTGGATCCATGTGGAGGATGGAACAAGAACCTCATTCCATGAACGGATCTCAGTGATGTCAAAACTATTCAAGGTTCACACAGAGTTTGAAAACCCCCTGAATTCAACAACTGTCTCGAAAATATTTGAATTTGAATTTGGATTTAAATACCCTACATTTCATCTTCACGCCTTGAAAATACAAAATTGACCTTGGCTTTCACTTGTTGCAAAGTTTGGCAGTTTATTTTATCCAGATTGAACATGTTGAAGAAATATTTGGTGCTCTGCACCTTCATGGAAGGATTCTTGGCCTTACTTATACCTACCCCTGATGACCACCATGTTGAGCCATATCAACACTTTAGTGATTCAAAAATGTATGCTTAATACTAAGATTAATGTAGTTTTGTAGACCTAAGGAAGGTCCCTGAATGTATGAGGCCCCTATCTGTTTGCACCTTGTTAAACTCTGAGCAATTTATCCGCCTGACTGATGGCCTCCTCTGTGTTGTCAGCCACCCTGGAGCATTGCAGGACGGTGGAGTGGTTGTCCGAGGACACCCTCATCTGCAACAATGTCATCAAGCGAGTGTGGCCAGCGTCACAGCGAGACGCCCTCTTCTGGTCCCACATACGCAACATTCAAGGCGAGAACGAAGATAGTCCGGATAGTTGGATAGTCGTCAACTACTCCTGTGACCACCCCAACTGTGGGGTAAGTCCCTCCTCAGTTTGTCATGGAGTGAGTAAGCCTGATCAACAGGCATTTTGAGTGATAGTACATGACTTTATAGCGTTTTATGTTATTAACATTTGAGTCCAATTTGTGTCACCCACCTACTTTGTTAACTCCTGATTTCTGTTCATTGATGTAGGGGTGAGATGAAGTTGGGTTTAACATTGCATTCACGATTATTGCAATATATAATGCATGTGCATGCGTGCATGTACTAGTCTTATTAGTCCACTGAGAAGTCATGCAGCAGTAGACACATTATACTGATAAATCCTTGTTTTAATTTCTTTACGACAAGTGCCAGGCAGGGCAACAACAAGTACCGTCATTTGGTATAACTCGTGAAGATCCATGCTTGCCGTAGGCGACTATGCTTGTCGTTAGAGGCGACTAACGGGATTTGATGGTCAGGCTCGCTGACTTGTTGATACATGTCATTGTATCCCAATGATTTCAATCACTGGATTGTCTGGTCCAGGCTTATTTAAAGACCGCTGTCATATAGCTGGAATATTGCTTAATGCGGCATTAAACAACAAACAAACAAGCAATCGTCATTTGGTATGATGCTGGGGATCAAACCTTCAAACTTTTGCTCACCGCACAGATGCTCTATCCACTAGAACACAGAGCAGTTTTTTTAAAAGGAATGGTACATGTTGTTATTTTGCCACCATGACGGCCATGTTTAAAATCGAATCAGTGTTGTGTTGGTTCATATTAGGGCTGCCATCTCTGTGTTGTTGCTCATACTCCCACTGGATCAGAATGACGGTTTTAGTATTGTCATATGGTTACCATGGTTACATGACTATTTCCAGGGTGGCAAGTATGTCCGGATCCAGATGAATGTGGCAATGATCTGTCAGACAATTGTAGAGCCACCCGCTGAGGGAAGCATCAGTCGGGACAACGTCAAGTGTAAGATCACCTACACCGCTGATGGTAAGAATCCTCTACCAGTGTTATATTCTGTCAAGGGTAACCATTAAGGGAATTCCAAAATCCAACCTTCATCATGTTCATTGCACTGTAACCATTGCTAGTATTCTAAAATTCAACGTACATGGCACTGTAACCATTGCTAGTATTCTGAAATTCAACGTACATGGCACTGTAACCATTGCTAGTATTCTGAAATTCTACGTACATTGCATTGTAACCATTGCTAGTATTCTGAAATTCAACCTACATTGCACTGTAACCATTGCTAGTATTCTGAAATTCAATGTACATTGCACTGTAACCATTGCTAGTATTCTGAAATTCAACGTACTTTGCACTGTAACCATTGCTAGTATTCTGAAATTCAACGTACATTGCACTGTAACCTTTGCTAGTATTCTAAAATTCAACGTACATTGCACTGTAACCATTGCTAGTATTCTGAAATTCAACCTACATTGCACTGTAACCTTTGCTAGAATTCTAAAATTCAACCTACATTGCACTGTAACCATTGCTAGTATTCTGAAATTCAACGTACATTGCAATGTAACCATTGCTAATATTCTCAAATTAACGTACATTGCACTGTAACCATTGCTAGTATTCTGAAATTCAACGTGTCATTCTCCCTTGACAGTGAACCCTGGAGGCTGGGCACCGGCATCAGTATTGAGAGCTGTTTACAAACGCGAGTACCCTAAGTTCATCAAGCGTTTCACCTCGTATGTGAAGACAAAGACGGCCGACAAGCCGATCATGTTCTAGATCTACTCACACATACTGGAAACATTGTCCACTGACCACGCCCGACGGATGGGATGTAGTCAGCTGGTCATAACAAGTGTCCACTTTTGGAACCTGTGGGATGGGTTCCGTGGACCGCAGGTCAAGAGGCGTGTCTCGGTCTCTCTCCTTGTACAGTTTTATTTTGCAGGTGTCAGTCTCCAGCTCTCCTACAGGGAATAGACACATGGGAAGAATGGGAAGGAGTTCTGTTTATTAACATTTCACAACCATGTCAAAGATTCCTGCTGATGCACAGCTTGTCAGTTCAGCTAAGAACTCATCGTCACTCTCAAATGAATCAAATTCCCACATGGGTGCACCATATGGTGTTCGTGTCATGATTAAAGTGTTGCGTTGCTAAAGCTTGTATGAAGGCCGGGTTGCTGTGACTTGCAGCTGCTGTGCCCCCTGATGCTGCTGAATCAGTAGACTATTCTCTCCACCTGCACAGAGACGTAGGGTTTAGAAAAGCCTTGTTGGATTGTATTACTTGGTTTACAGTTTACTTGTCATGCCACAGGCCCAGGTTTGATTCCCACATGGGTAAAATGTTTAAAGCCCATTTCTGGTGACCCTGCTGTGACATTGCTGGTATGTTGCTAAAAGCGCCGTAAAACAATACTCATTCACAGACTTGGTTTTCAATTCCAAAATGTTTTTAAAACGGTGAATGGAATGGAATTTTAAGAAGACTTATATTTCCACCATCGTGACTGTAAAAACATTTCAGCACATGAGACAAAATCAAATGAAGTCAATAATAAGGGAAGTAGCTATTTCACTTGTTGTTTAAGGTAACATTACACTTCTTCAAGTCTTTGAAGAGCATTTAGAAGTGATACACATAAGGAAGAGAATTAATGGATGTCAACTTCTTTATTATGAGGAACACAACGTTTCGGAGTATATGCTTACTCCTTCATCTGGTGAATCGGATGAAGGAGTAAGCATATACTCCGAAATGTTGTGTTCCTCATAATAAAGAATTTGACATCGATAAATTCGCTTCCTTTTTACTTATACACTTCTTATTGGCATTTCAAGAACGTTTCATCAGATACTGTAAATCATGTAATACAAGCACAAGGCCTGAGGTTGTTGTTACTCTCAGTATTGCGTGATTGCGTGTACAGTTGTATGTATATATACTGTTGTATAGGTAGGTAATACACAGGTACTCTGTGGTGGGAACTAATTACATTACCATGAACCAACTGAATAGTGCCCCTCAATGAATAATCACCCCAGATTACCACAAAACAAAACTGTCCACCCTTCACTGTGAGGTTCAGACAGTTCAGAAGCCGTGTGTGCTAATTACGTTGATAATGGCATAATTTTTGCGTCCGTATCGGATGAATCTGTAGCAATCATTAAGTGGTGTTTTTGTTTAAAATGCAGTAGAAATTAGTTGCCATTGTTTCTAGGTTTTCATGACACCCACACAAACACGAGTATCATTGTCATATTGTATGGGTTTTACAGTAGCTGTAGAATACTTGGTTCTGTTGTGTGTTTAGCAGCACCTGTCCTGTTAGTTTCCTTTAGACTGATTGTATTTATGAGAGCCACAGTCAGCTGTCCACCAGCATTGTGGCCACAGCATGATGACAGCATGTTGCTGCGTCATGCCTCCTACGTCACCTTCTTTGACCTTTGTTCAAGATGGTACAGGAATTATTTTTCTACCATAAAATGCTATATTCTTTAATATATCTGTCATATTTTTACATAGAAAGCCAATCTATTTCTTGCAATATTATCTGGTATGTATGTCGTGGATACCCAATGTTTGTTGTCTGTCAGTAAGTCTGAGTATTTTTCAAAGGCAGGAGCTTGCAACAATGTTTCAACCTAACTACACCAAGCTTGTTGGGCTCTTCTCTGTGTGGGGCATCATTTGATGACTATTGCTCATAGGATATGAGACCAAGCTGGCAAGTTCACAAAACTAAGTTTACTTTTTCAGTCGCCTGGTCTGATATTTTTGAAACCCTTCAAATGACTCCATTTTATAAGGTTGAGAATACTGTCCATACATAGCCGCTGGCTTCAACTTTAACCCCTAAAGTATGACTTATTCTGAGTCAAAGGGGCTGGTAAGTGTGTCAGCCAACTAACCTAGGTGGTTTATGAGTGAGTGAATATTCTGGGGTCAGCAGCAGTCGGGTGAAGGTCAGTTATCATACTACTGGTGTCAGGCATTGCGATCAGGCATTTTGTTGTTTGCTACTGATTATTGTGTTGGTCAGTCCTTCACAGATTGAGTTCTCCGGCATTCTGTTGTGTTTGCTACTATGATTGTGTTGGTCAGTCCTTCACAGATTGAGGTCTCTGGCATACTGTTGTGTTTGCTACTATCATTGTGTTGGTCAGTCCTTCACAGAGGGGGTCTCCGGCATTCTGGTGTGTTTGCTACTATCATTGTGTTGGTCAGTCCTTCACAGAGGGGGTCTCCGGCATTCTGTTTTGTTTGCTACTATCATTGTGTTGGTCAGTCCTTCACAGAGGGGGTCTCCGGCACTCTAGTGTGTTTGCTACTATCATTGTGTTGGTCAGTCCTTCACAGATCGAGGTCTCCGGCACTCTAGTGTGTTTGCTACTGTCATTGTGTTGGTCAGTCCTTCACAGATCGAGGTCTCCGGCACTCTAGTGTGTTTGCTACTATCATTGTGTTGGTCAGTCCTTCACAGATCGAGGTCTCCGGCACTCTAGTGTGTTTGCTACTATCATTGTGTGGGTCTGCATGTTGTTACTGTTGAGACATTCAGTCAAGGGCATGGTGCTGTTTGATGTTGAGTTTTTGAGAGGTTGACCAGGAGTGTACACCAGTAGAAACTGGGATGCTGCATCATCCTGGCTCATTGAGGTCAAGCTCAGTACTGATGAGAACTTGTGGCTTTGATTACTTGCAAGAACAGCATACTGACCCGTAGCTCACAAGAGGCTAGGGTTCTCACCGCTGCACTGATCTGCAACCATCTGATCATAAGTAACGTGTGTCCCCTATGCATTTAAGGTGTGTACATGTTTTCACACATCTACATGATTACAATACACAGCCCTATTGCAGACATCTGGATCAGGTCAAGGGAATGTAAATGTAAGACTTGGGCTGTTCCAATTTTCCAATTGCTCAAATGATCATGAATTGCAGGCGTTTGTATGGAATTTTATTTGAGTTGGTAATCACGTTGATGATATTGTGTTAGTGTTGGACATTGCTGTTCTAGTGTGTAGTTATGACACCTTTTCAGTTTATTTGTTAAACAACAGGAATGATGACCAGACTGTGAGGAGGAACGCCCAGTAGCTGGGTGGTGGATGTGTTTGCTCACCGAGCAGCAATGAAGGTTTGACTGTAAAGATTGGCTCTATGTTCCAGTAGGGCGGGTTCCAGATGTTGAAAAAACATAGGTAGGGAATTAAGGAGGATGTCTACTTGCAATGTTAAGAACGTCAGTCATTTACTCATCTTGGAGTCTGGAATTGGAAACAGGTGCTGGTTTCAGTAAAGTAACCCCTAATCGTCTGTGTGAGTGAGTGAGCCGTCGTGAAGGTGCGTTGTGTACATAGGGTTGTCTCTGCCTTCTGGTCAAGGTCATCATGCCCTGTAGAATACATCATCATTCAATGTCTTAGTAGCTTTGAGTAATGATTGGCAGGAGGGTTTCTGCTCTCCTAACTGTTAGTGACACTCACTGTGGTGACTTCAGAATACCAAGGTTACTGGAACCTACCCTTGTCCCTGCCCCCATTCACTGATACAATATAGATTACTCCTGTAATCCTCCCAGTCCACCAACCCCCTCCATCTTACCCTCTCTTCACCTAATCTCCTCTCCACCTAACCCCCCTCTGCCAACCCCCTCTTCACTTAACCTTTCTTAATCTAAACTCCTCTCAACCTGACCCCTCTCCACCAACCCCCTCTTCACTTAACCTTTCTTAATCTAAACTCCTCTCAACCTAACCCCTCTCCACCTGACCCCTCTCCACCTAACTCTCCATTGCACTACTTCGCTATCTCAGTTGAACACCATCATTTGTAAATAGTGCTATGAGGCCAGACACATTTTTGTGTGTGCCAGTTTTCTTAAGAAATGTTGTGTTTTGTTGTTGAAACGAGTAAACTGTATAAACATAGATACACACCAGACCATGAGGACAAAGCCATGTAGTAGGACAGGGTATCCGATTTGTACATTTCTATTGATAAGGATGTAGTTACTATTAACATTGATCACGCATCTCATTGGAAGCTAGCCCTGTTCAAGGTTCACACACAGTTGAGAAAACCCTTAAATTCAGCAGCTGTCTTGAAAATCCCAAACATTCAACAGCTGTCTTGAAAATCCCAAACATTCAACAGCTGTCTTGAAAACCCCTTGAATTAATCAACAGCTGTCTTGAAAACCCCTTGAAATCAACAGCTGTCTTGAAAACCCCTTAAATTCAGCAGCTGTCTTGAAAACCCCTTGAATTCAACAGCTGGCATTATAAGCGTATAAATTTCAACTTTTAGCTTTGAAAATGAAAAAATGGTTCTTGAATTTGGCAGTCATCTATAGATGTTCAGCATTCTTCAACATGGAACATTCAGTAAACAATTGGTGTTTTCCACAATTTTACTCACTGATTCTATACACTGGTTGTTATTTGCCCTGATGGGTACAATGTCAAGTCATATCAACACTTTGGTAGTTCCAAAATGTATAAGTAGTGTTAAAGTTGCAGCATTGCTGGAGTCCTTCAAAAACACAATTTTGCCTTGAAAAGTCCTTGAATTCTTAGGCTGTATGATCTCTGCAAGATAACCTTTGTTTTTGTAGTAACATGACCTCTTTTAGATATTTAGAAATAATTGGTTTTCTGCCTCTTAAAATGCAAACATGCATCCTGTTTTAATGAACGTCAGTATAATATAATGTCAGATATTTTTATAGTATAATTTCAGGTAACAATAGTAAAGAAGTAATGAAATGGTTTTGAAATAATAATCTGAAAGCCAGGGCAAACTGTAATGAACTGTAATGAACTAAAAATAAAATATGCACACGATGTGAGACGAATAATAAAGTTTGGAAACTTGATTTGCAATGCAATGATGCACAGTGACCTGTGTTACCACAAGAGATTCCTAGGAACATAGGATGAGCTGACATGATACGTCCGAAACAAGACTTAACGAGATTTACCTGAGACATTGACCAATGATCTGAAAAACTACTTGTTCTGTGATACTGTGATGAACACTGGGCACTTGGTTCGCAAACACTCCAAACACTTTCATGTGGAACTTCAGACACCGTAGCACAGGTCTGGTAGGAAATTTGTGGGTAAACTTGCATCCGATGTCATCTTATGTTTAGTCCACACTTCTGTAGGCTACAACTTACACATACTCAAATCCATGCTTGTTTAGGCTACAGCGACTACATACTCGAGTCCATGCTTGTTTAGGCTACAACTTCCACATACCCAAATCCATGCCGGTTTAGGCTACAGCTACCACGGAATCAAATCCATGCTGGTTAAGGCTGCAGCTACAACATACTCGAGTCCATGCTTCTGTAGGCTACAGCTACCACGGAATCAAATCCATGCTGGTTTAGGCTACAGCTACCACGGAATCAAATCCATGCTGGTTGAGGCTACAGTGACTACATACTCTAGTCCATGCTTGTTTAGGCTACAGCTACCACGGAATCAAATCCATGCATGTTTAGGCTACAGTTTCCACAGACTCCAATCCATGCATGTTTAGGCTACAGTTTCCACAGACTCCAATCCATGCTTCTGTAGCTACAGCTACTACTAACCTGAGTTCCACCTGAGACTGGTAAGTGACATATTCTGTACAGTGCTGTATTTGCGGGTTTGCTCACTAGATTTGAAGCAGAGGCTTGCCTGCTGTAGGCAACTCTGGGTGACATTGTTTATGGCCTTGCCATTTTCTGCAATGTTACAGACCTTCTGGGCACTCAATTGTATATTTGTCTCCAAGCTGTGTATCCTGCTTGTGTTATAATTTATTAAAAAACAACTTGTTTGTATATTGAGGTAGACTGTGAGGGAAAATTGTTGAGAAAGAAGACAGAAAGCAGGTACAAAAATGCCACTATCCATATAGTCATGGTTTCGGATTTCTTTCAAAGAGGATGAGGTGTGCACAAACATTGTTTTTTGTGGTTGACAATTGTGTGAAAACGGTTAAAAAAGTTCCTTGACACAAAAGACAATGTATGTGGGCTTCTCACTCTGCCGTTGTCAATAAGTGAATTGCTAGCTGGGTTGTGTACCTGTATAGTTATGTATATACATACTGTTGCTTTCTAAAGTGTATGACTTAAGAGAATCTGATCAAAGTGGACTTTAAATTTTTCATTTGTAAACCTGTGCATTTATGTTTGTCATGTTAATCTCCATGTTAGATTGGTTGCTGCGTTGCAGCTGACCGTGTTGAATAAGCTGCTGACTGAGGGTACCAGTCTGCAGTACTTGTACAACATCTTTCGTAAATCGTCCATAGCTCAAATAAAATTGGAGCTCAACTCAAGCAGTTGAATTGTATGCAACGTGGGGATAAAAGATGTCATCTTTGTTTTACAATGAATGAAACGTTTCACTGTTTAGTTTATTTGCACCTCGTCCACATGAATTTGCACACTCTGGTGCAGTGATGACTAAGCGTTACACCACTGCCACAGGCTAATTTACAAATCATGAGACTGGACACTTTTCTTGGTTGTAAACAAACTTGTCTATTCTGAAATCAGAACAGACTGGCCAAATGCAAGCATTTTGGTGCACTTAAATTGTTTTGCATAATTATATGGATATGCTACCACAACTTCAACAGTGAGATGCATGACAATATATCTTTATACATCAAAGTGACCCTATTTCTAGCTCTCTGAAGGGCTTCGACGACAGTACGTGGAGCCATACAAGCAATATAAACAAAGGATAAATATAAAAGTGGAATTTTCTTTTCACGTTTAAGGATATTTGCTCAATGAAAATGGCAAATGGCATGTTTATCTATTTGTGTAGACTTCTCAAAAATGAAACACATGAAAAACATGTAATATCTTGAATGCACTGTGTAAAATGTAATGAATCGTCTCATGACACTGGCCTGTGGCAGAGGTAAAAGGAACTATGGGTAGGAGAGTGATGAATCTGTAGGTCGTGTTAGTCTGTGACCATGGTTACTGAGGGTCAGATGTTCTGCTCCTCTGTTAACTCTGACATTAAGAATACAGAAAGGAATCCACAGGTTCCAACAAGCATGAGATGGAACAATACAGAAGTATGTCACCCCTGACCACTCAGTTTCTTCTTTTACAGATGAGGCCATTCTGATCGTTTCATGAGTTAGAATGAAGAAACTTCTAATTTTTACCTGGAAGTACATGCATACATATTTCAACATCAGACTTGTTGGTTTGGAAATTCATTCAGACCTCTCCACTTAGAAAAACAACAACTTGTACCCGTACAATCTGCAAGAATTGAATAAAGGAAATATCCTGAATTGTTTAATTCCACTGGTAAACCAATTTATGGAAAAATAGTTTTGACATGCCTTGGCATTTTGGCCAAAAACATCTTTACAAGAAGAAAGAGAGCTGGTCAGTCATCAAAAATGTTTAATGTGTATTCATGTGAATCCCATGTATCGTCCCCTCTGTCATGTCTCCTGTGTGTGCACCATCAACTCCACTGCACCACTGTTATACAGCTGATGTCATCATTATGCATGTTGTGTTGCCTCCACCAAAATAACTGTTGTAAAAACAAAAATATTTTTTGGAATCTTTTTCTTTTTTTTAACCAAGTCTTTTATGATAGCTTGAAAGGCTAAAAACTTTTCACACCAGTTTGGATATTATGCTCAATCACACACCAATATTGGTGCCCAGATTGTGATATGGGACTTTTCTATACTTGTAACAACATTCACTGAAAAGACAAGAAGGTAGGTAGCAATGTATATCCTGTGTGGAGCTTCATCTGTACATATGCCCACCTGTCTGCTCAACATACCTGTTCAACATACCTGTCCCATGTGTAGGTAAACCTGGATACCCATAATAAACATGTTCAGTTTGTTGATACATACTTGTTGGTTGTTTTTGAGATGAACTCATGGAAATATACATCTACCACTGTCAGCCCCTAAAACTATGTGTAGAGCTGATAGCGACAAGGCTATGGCCCATGTTTGCACATATTGTCAAGCGAGAGTGGTCGTTTGCATGATTTAAGCTGATCGGTCATTGGTGTGAGCACAGCATGTTGTCTTATGGGTGGAAAGCCCAAAGTGAGTTAGAAATTGACCACTGGTGAAACCCACAGACACAGGTAGGGTGCACAATGGTGAAATCTTGGATTCGAATCCATGATTATGGCAAGGTATGCATCTCTACATGGTGGAGGCCCATCTTCCCTAGGCAAGAGATTAACTGACTATAAAAGTCCATGGAAACTGGACTTTTAAAGTCAGTTAACTCTCTTACCTCCGGAAGATGGGTGGAGGCCTTGACTACCCTCTGTTCATGAACAGGATTCCAGCATGTCACATGTTTGAGTATGCCAAGCACATGGTGTCTATGTATCTGGTTTCTAAGCATGTGCCTTCCTTAAGGGAAATTAGCATACTGACAAATAGGCCCCAGTTAAAAACAAAAAGAAGTAAAAGAGTTGTGTTAACAGGTTTTACCTGTACCTCATGTCATGCCTCTCAATGACCCATGATATCATTTATTGACTTGTCTGTTCTTAACTCAATTATTCACAAGCCGCTGTGACATAGCTGTTGAGTGTTGTAATATCCAATCGGGGCAACCGGGATTCGAACCCACAATCATAGGTTTCTGGCGTGCCAAAGGGACGCAACTCTGCACAGCGAATTGCTGCACCTTAGACGACCCCTGCATTAGTCCTGCACCATGACTGTGAATATTCCATATTATTTTATGGAAAAAACCAACCAATCTAGATATGTATACAAAAGCAAGTCTAGCCAGCTCCAGCTAACTCTATCCACACAAGAAATCACCATCTATAAAATTATTTGTTTAATTTTAGAGTGGAGAAGGGTATTGTGTAATAGAAGATTTCATAGACTGAATGTTAGTCTACCCCTGAATCAACAGGTAACCTAGAATACATGACTGAGTGAAAGACTGTAAACTGAACCCCTGTTTATAAGGGCAGTGCTGTCCATAATGGAATCCTAGGGTGTATCTATACTGTCCACTGAGTGAGTGGGTAATATAACTGTATTCCTGTTATGTCACTGCGTGTCAGCTTTAATGTGGGAGGAACATCGAAGTGATGCAGATCGCAAAAGCTTACCGCTTCTCTGACAGACCTTGAAACATGAACGGGGCGAACCTGCGGCAGAGACCATATATGGTCTCTGCCTGCGGGCAAAGGTTTCTGGCTTACCAAAGGGACGCAACTATGCAAATCGAATTGCGGCGTCTTAGACGACTGGAACACTATTCTAATGCGGCGTAAAACTATACCCATTTACAGAACCAATCGATACCCTACCGCCACTATAATACAATGTAACGTCATATCGGATTTTTTATCCACATAGTGACGAGTATAATAATATTCAATCATTTATATCATTTTGACACTAATGTGATTGACAAGATTCAGGAAACACATTGCAAATATGCAGACCTCGCTTTCGAAATGTTACGCTTGCATCCCAAGTACCAAGTTGTTCGACTCCCCATTGTTCTCGGTGCCTTAGGTTTGGTACCTCCCAATCTGTTGACTGACATTTGGAGAGGACCCGGGTTTGCTACCAGGAATACAGCCCTTCTGACAATCTGGGTAACACAGAAGGCTGCAGTGTTGGGGAGTCTTCACATTCCCCGAAAGGTGCTGGGTGGGTTAGACTTGGCAGCGCTTCCTGGGAGAAGTCCCATTGGCTGTCTGGGCTGCGTGTCAAGGGGGCAATGACCCTGAGTTGATGAACCAGCCTGACTGCCAGGATCACCCAAACCCTCTTTGCTGCATTTTTTAATTTTTAACTGTACATACTACTACTACTACTACTACTACTACTACTACTACTACTTACCCATGAAGATTGGGGGTAGAATAGGTCTTCAGTAACCCATGCTTGCCGTAAAAGGCGACTATGCTTGTCGTAAAAGGCGACTAATGGGATCGGGTGGTCAGGCTCGCTGACTTTGTTGATGCAAGTCATCGATCCCAATTGCGTGGATCGATGCTCATGATATCAATCACTGGATTGTCTGGTCCAGACTCGATTATTTACAGACCGCCATCATATAGCTGGAATATTGCCGAGTGCAGCCCTAAAGAACAAACAAACAAACTACTACTACTACTACTACTAGATCTACATGTACATGAATAACTGAAACAAGTATTGCGAAATCATTGGATTTGGTTAATCTGGAAAGGTTCACGGTTTATTTATTTCTTGATAGCATACATATACCAAAACGTTAACTTTGAAGCTAAATATAATTGATTACAATTGTCTTTGATTGCTTGTGAAGTATATTGAAAAGGGTCGACTCGATGTGTAGTATTTCATTAATCAATGAGCACACTTCATTTGCTGCAGCAACATCCGGACACCCTCCTTTCACATATGAAGTTCTCGGCTGAACCACAGTCAACATTGTTCCACTCATGGTCATAATGTCTATATAGTATCAGACATAGCTCCAGCTTGTCCCCTGTGCTCAAGTTGTTAGGTTCTCCAGGTGTCCAGTTGGTGTAGTTGAGGGGAAAGCCCCCCTCCCACATGAACGCCCCTTCCCTGCCGAGATCCATGGCACCAAGCCAGTAGCCTGGGAAGAGAAATTGCTTTGTCTGGTGATGGTGGTCAAACAAGATGTACGGTTCTAAGACAAATGGAAGTGAACAAAAGCCTTCACAGGAAAGTTAATGAGAGGTGAGAGTGACTCACAAAACATGACATGACAAAACGTTCCATATGCGTAGTGATATGTGATCAGGCGAGTGTTGAATTTAGTGACCCACCATATCAATATAGGCCCCTCAGTTATTTAGCGGTTATTATAGGACGGTTTTCATATCCAACCGCCTATCAACCCTCGTGGTGGTGTCGAGGGCTAACATGGGGTATGATATAAAAACTACCATGTAATAACCTTTTTATAATGATACCATCACACCAAATGTGCAACTTCTGCGTACTCAGCTCGTGTTGTTGGTTTGCCATAGTGATGTGGTTTGACAAGACATATCAGCCAGGCAGGGGGTGTAATAAGGGTCTGGGTATTACATCCTCTGTGATACGACCGTCTTTTTGTTTGCACATGCAAAATGCCTCATATCATCAATGGGTATATGATAAGACGAATAGCCCAACTCAGGGGTAGAGTGTTGCTGTTATTGTGTATTTGGATTACAATGTAAAGCTCAGGGTGACAGTTCAGGGGAAGAGTGGTGCTGTTGTTGTTTTGGAAAAGATAAATAACATGGTGAGTATTGGAATAGATTAATAACACAAGGTGAGTATTGGAATAGAGGAATAACATGGTAAGTATGTGGTGCTGTTGTTGTATTGGAAAAGATAAATAACATGGTGAGTATTGGAATAGATTAATAACACAAGGTGAGTATTGGGATAGATGAATAACATGGTGAGTATTGGAATAAATTAATAACACAAGGTGAGTATTGGAATAGATGAATAACATGGTGAGTATTGGAATAGATTAATAACACAAGGTGAGTTTTGGAATAGATTAATAACTTGGTGAGTATTGGAATGAATTAGTAACACAAGGTGAGTACTGGGATGAATTATTAATAAAAAGGTGAGTATTGGAATAAATTAATAACACAAGGTGAGTATTGGAATAAATTAATAACACAAGGTGAGTATTGGGATAAATTAATAACTCAAGGTGAGTATTGGGATAAATTATAACACAAGGTGAGTATTAGAATTAATTAGTAACACAAGGTGAGTATTGGAATAAATTAATAACACAAGGTGAGTATTGGAATTAATTAATAACACAAGGTGAGTATTGAGATAAATTAATAACACAAGGTGAGTATTGGAATTAATTAAAAACACAAGGTGAGTCTTGGATTTAATTAGTAACACAAGGTGAGTTGGAATTAATTAAAAACACAAGGTGAGTATTGGAATGAATTAATAACACAAGGTGAGTATTGCAATGAATTAATAACACAAGGTGATTATTGGGATAAATTAATAACACAAGGTGAGTATTGGAATTAATTAGTAACATAAAGTGAGTATTGGAATTAATTAGTAACACAAGGTGAGTATTGGAATAGATTAGTAACACAAGGTGAGTATTGAAATAAATTAATAACACAAGGTGAGTATTGGAATAAATTAATAACACAAGGTGAGAATCGGAATAAATTAATAATACAAGGTGAGAATCGGAATAAATTCATAACACAAGGTGAGTATTGGGATAAATCAATAACACAAGGTGAGTATTGAATAAAATAATAACAAAAGGTGAGTATTGGAACAGATAATAATAACGCAAGGTGAGTATTTGAATATGATGACTAACACAAGGTGAGTATTTAAATATGATGACTAACACAAGGTGAGTATTTAAATATGATGACTAACAAAAGGTGAGTATTGCCCTAGGTGTTTATAGCATTATGACGAAGTTTGCACATTGCTATGCAACTCCCTTTGAAGATACATTCACAACTCACTTTTCCCTGTTCCAGTTGCATGGCTTCTAAGGAAATTGTCCTCGTCTTTGCTGGTTATCCGGGCAAGGTGGCTCCCAAGGAACTGACAGTAGGACTGACAAGAGATATTAGAGTGTATTACAGGTTGCACAGCACACTTGGAGATATACATAAGGTATCTGATGTACTTATAACAGGCTTATAATCGCTGTAAGAGAGAGAACTTGTGTCACAGATCGACTTTGTGTTGTCAGTAATTCCGTCATGCTTTGTGATTTCATCATGCCTAGAAAGTCCATCATGCTTAGTGATTCCGTTATGCTTTGTGATTACAACATGCCCAGAAAGTCCATCATGCTCAGTGATTCCGTTATGCTTTGTGATTACAACATGCCCAGAAAGTCCCTCATGCTCAGTGATTCCGTCATGCTTTGTGATTCCAACATGCCTAGAAAGTCCATCATGCTCAGTGATTCCGTCATGCTTTGTGATTACAACATGCCTAGAAAGTCCATCATGCTCAGTGATTCCGTCATGCTTTGTGATTCCAACGTGCCTAGAAAGTCCATCATGCTCAGTGATTCCGTCATGCTTTGTGATTACAACATGCCTAGAAAGTCCATCATGCTTAGTGATTCCGTCATGCTTTGTGATTCCAACATGCCTAGAAAGTCCATCATGCTCAGTGATTCCGTCATGCTTTGTGATTCCAACATGCCGAGAAAGTCCATCATGCTTAATAATTCCGTCATGCTTTGTGATTCGATCATGCCTAGAAAGTCCATCATGCTCAGTGATTCCGTCATGCTTTGTGATTCCAACATGCCTAGAAAGTCCATCATGCTCAGTGATTTCGTCATGCTTTGTGATTCCAACATGCCTAGAAAGTCCATCATGCTCAGTGATTCCGTCATGCTTTGTGATTCCAACATGCCTAGAAAGTCCATCATGCTTAGTGATTCCGTCATGCTTTGTGATTCCAACATGCCGAGAAAGTCCATCATGCTTAATAATTCCGTCATGCTTTGTGATTCGATCATGCCTAGAAAGTCCATCATGCTCAGTGATTCCGTCATGCTTTGTGATTCCAACATGCCTAGAAAGTCCATCATGCTCAGTGATTCCGTCATGCTTTGTGATTCCAACATGCCTAGAAAGTCCATCATGCTCAGTGATTCCGTCATGCTTTGTGATTCCAACATGCCTAGAAAGTCCATCATGCTCAGTGATTCCGTCACGCTTTGTGATTCCATCATGCCGAGAAAGTCCATTATGCTCAGTGATTCCAGCATTCTTAGATTCAGACATGCTCAGAAATTCCAATATGCTCGGCGATTCCAACATGCTTAGTGATTCCAACTTGGCTTGGCAACCAACTAACCAAAATAAGAAACGCATTGGTGGTCACACTTTTTTCCAGTAATTACAACATGGTTAGAGATTCCAAAATGATTAGACATTCCAACATACTTAGAATGTCCATCATGAATTGTGATTCCAACATGCCTTGTGATTCCAAGATGGTTACTGGTTCCAACTTTCTGAGGGATTCCAACATGCTTAGAGATTCCAACATGCTTAGAGATTCCAACATGATTAGAGATTCCAACATGATTAGACATTCCAACAACCTTAGAGATTCCAGCATGCTTAGATATTCCAACATGATAAGAGATTCAAACATGATTAGACATTCCAACATGCTTAGAGATTCCAACATGATTAGAGATTCCAACATGATTAGAGACTACAACATGATTAGTCATTCCAACATGGCCTGGCTTGTTGGTTGGCCTCAAAGTAATCGAGTCGGGACCAGATAATACATTGACTGATATTATGAGAAACGGAAGAGCGGAAGGTCTGGGGTTCAATCCCCGCCCGCGTCATACCACAAAAACGTTAAAAGATGGTACTTGTTGTTACCCTGTCTGGCGCTCGGCATTAAGGGGCTAAAACCAGGACTTTCGGAATCAGTATACTGTGTCTGAATGGGGTATTCATGTTAAACTGTGGCATGGTATATCAGTGTGCTAGAACTATAAATCGGCATTAGTCCAGACTAGTACAAGCAGCCACAAACACACACACACATAGTACAAGCAGACACACACACACACACACACACACACATACACACACACACACACACACACACACACACACACACACGCCGAGCGCCAGACAGGGTAACAAGTACCGTCTTTTAACGTCGTTTGGAATCACGCGGCCGGGGATCGAACCCCGGACCTTCCACTCTCCGGGCGGACGCTCCATGAGGTATGGAACCAACTCTTATGGGCGAAGAACAGATCTGGTTTTTAGGTGCGCGTTTTCGGGGCGAGATTCGGCTCTGCGCTCTGCACCAAGCGCCAATTTTCAGCATGACAAACCCCGCACAGCACGATTCTGTACTGATTTCCTTGGAGTGTAAATGATGAAAGTTCGGAACCCAATTGAAAGCATACAGCAATAACGCCAAGCTCTTCGGGAAGAAAGGGCTGCCACTCCACAAGGTGTCATCCGCAGGCTTCTTTGTTCCATGAGCAGGACGTGCCGTGCAGACATTCAGGCCAATGGTGAACACACGCGGCGCCGTGCGTGACCTTATCGCGAACACCTGGTATCATCATTATTTCATAGGGAATCACTAACCAATGCTTATGATATTTTATTTATGAGTTGAATATTAATGATACGGCAACTCAGACTGATTAACCAAATTGACATTTTTTTTGTTTTTTAATCGTTTAACACAACCTCAATGACATGATACAATATAAGAGCTTCTGAAAGTGTGTTAAGTTTCTTTGTTTGTATACCATGAGTGATATACTTACTCTTGCCTCAGCAAATGTTCCTTTTATTCTGGAGAACCAATAGCAAGCACCACCGTGCTTAATAAATCCCCCAGGACATCGGGAAGTATCTGCAGAACAGCAGACAAAATATTCAAAAGGCAGTTACTGAATGTCTGTAAAACGTCGCATGTTTCATGTGGTTATCTGCATAAGGAGAGGGTGAGTTAGTGAGTGGACGTTGTTTTACGTCACAGCCAGAAACATAAGAGTACAGCTTCGGTGCTTTGTGCATAGTGTGAGTTTTGACCAGACGAACCAGTGGCTAGTAGCAACGGATTGTGACAATTCACGCATTTAACAAGTCTGGAAATTGTCACAAACTGACGTCCAAAAGAAAGTACACCACGACTTTTGAGAGAGCAAAGTTTTGAGTTAAACATATATACATGTATTGAGTGAGTGAGTATGGTTTTACGCCGCTTTTAGCAATATTCCAGCAATATCACGGCGGGGGACACCAGAAATGGGCTTCACACAATGTACCCATGTCGGGAATCGAACCCGGGTCTTCGGCGTGAGAAGCGAACGCTTTAACCACTAGGCTACCCGACCGCCCCTATACATGTATTGAATGACGGTGACGTTTCAGCACTCATAACCAAGAATTCATGGGACCTAACTCCTCCACAACGATATAAACCAAAAAAGCGTTGTAATATATTATCTAGCTGTCATCAGCGATAACTCCTGCAGTATTAATTGCGGTTAATTAGCAAGGGTTAATTTTAAAACAAACTTTTTTATTGTTTTTTAATTATAGCACGAACCCCGTGCTGTACATAATGCGTTCGAACCCACGTGTAGATACATTCTGTGTAGATATGTTACATTGTAGCTTGTTCAAAAACTAAAACAACATTGTATTGTATCATGTTCATGAATGTATAATTTGGTATGTGATACTTTATATAATAATATACTTTGTATAATCGGAATATTATGTAAATTATATAATCATCTCGCTATGTGTATTTTGCTACACAGCCTGTTTTTAAAAAAAGACTACCACAAGGTACTATATACTTACGCATAAGAAATATACAAGCACCTTACAAGCCATAAACTCAGCTTATCAACTAAATAAACAAAGTGTTGTACTGAGGTTACATATTCATTTACATGAAGATATTAATAATATACTGCATTGTGCCAAGCATGTCACATGTCCAAGACACATAAACAGCTAGACCTACACAAAGTTCAGTTCTGTTTGCTTGCCATCTCCATAAGTTTGAGCATTGAAGTAAAATGTCACGGAGTCCCGAAACTGGCAGTTCGCTCAAATTGACATCTTGGGTTGGTTGAGACGTGATTACTTTAGTTATGTTTGACCTTTTCCCCTGTCTCACTTCATTCGTCGTATCTTATCAATACACAAGCTTCCTTTTGCTGAAATGGCGCTTTTCTCGATTTAGATCGCAATGGTTCTCCATTCGTTTTCCGGAGTTTCAGTGCCTCAATAGTTGCATCCCATTTATTTGATTTTTCCTTACGTATTTTATTTTCCGAATTTCATCATTTGTTTCTACAAGGGCCTTACAAGTGAACTGAATAGAACCATAGCGAGCAACAAAACCAGGGACGTGGTAAATCAAACTGAATATGTGACGTTATTCGCATCTTTTGGTACAAATTCATTTTACAGATTTGAAAAGAATTGAAAAGAATAACTGAACCCAAATTTTAGACATTTCAAAAACCTCCATTGATGAGGTACCTGGTGAACAAAGTTTGGAACAGATTCCTGAAAGGTTTTGACAAAGATTGATGATGATGCTGTCGAAGTCAGGATTTAATTTGCCTCTAACCTTTGAAGGTAGATATTTCAAAAGCTTTTTTCTTTTCCTGGCTCGAGAGACTTGTCCAATATAGTTTTTTGCTCTCTCCCCCTCTCTTCCCTAACAGAAAATGAAACTCCCCAGGACCTGATAAAGTGAACTATCTCGTCAACGTCTTTTTCTTCTCAACTAGACACTTATCCACGTCGCATGCCTTCACTATCAAATTCCTTTCAAGCACATCTGCTATTCTAAGTAGTAGATGCAACTCATCCCGAATGTAGTTTTGAACCTCAAGATTAATAAGGAGAGTACCATGGGAACATTTGTCTACACAATTTATTACGTCTTAGCCGTCCAAAAGAAAGCAAGAAGTATTCTGTCTAATTACTTTGTAAAGTAAATGATAGAAATAAAATCGTGGTGAAATATGTCGCACAAACACAACTAAATGAATCCCATGAAATATATCGTGAAGTGTATATTTTAATGAAAAACGTGAATAGAGTAAGATTGCTATATCCGACTGCGCCACCTACGTGAAAGGACGACCACAGCCACCTCAACCTCATCCCAAATACCCGGACTGGCATCTCCGACCAGACCGTACGAAACCGTTTAAGAGCAGCAGGTCTACGAGCAGGACGTCCTATTCGACGCGTCGACAACATCGTCAACAACGACTGCATTGGTGACGTCAACACAGGGTATTTCCTCAACTGCAATGGAGATCGAGATGTCTGGTTCAGCGACGAAGCAAGATTTCTCTTCTTTTGAGAGGATAAAAGAGCACGGTTCTATAGACGTCGGGGAGAACGTTACGTCGGAAACTGCGTACAGGAAGTGGACAGGTTTGGTTTGGGTAGCGTTATGATGTGGGCAGCTATCTTTCATCATGGCAGGACAGGTTTGGTCCATATCCAGGGCAATCTTACGGCAGGACAACGCTCGACCGCATACAGCACGGATCACAAGAGCCTGTCTACACAACAACAACGCCCTCCAGATCCCCGGATTTGAACCCGATATAGCACCTGTGAGATGAATTGGATAGACGGATACGCCGACGTCAACCACAACCCCAGACGTTGCAGCAGTTGGCTTTTGCGTTGCAGGCCGAGTTGGCTACCATTCCCCAGGATGTGATTCCAATACTCGTCTTTTCCATGGGCAGGAGATGGCAGGCCGCTCTCGATTTCAACGGGGGACATACGCGTTATTGATGGTAGCTGACCTTCACCTTGGACTTTTCCTAAGTACCGATAACTGAGATGATTACAATCACCAAGTGTTCTCTCCACAACAGTTTGTCTCAATACCTTGTACCGTTCCTCGAATAAATGTATTTTCCTACCTCACACAAACCTGACTTTGCGTTTCTTTTTTTGAAGAGTATATTTTCTTTGAGAGCTAATTTCTAACACTAAGTTCTAAATATTTGCACGAAATATGTTATCAAAAGGAGTGAGTTTGAGTTTAAGCCGCCTTTTAGCAATATTCCAGCGATATTACTGGAAATCGGCCTGATGTCATCATATAAAAAGAGAAAAAAATATCCCAAAGTACAACTTCCTCTGTCTGACAATATCCGAGAAATTGTTCACATTGCGAAAAAATGCATTTTGGTAAAATTTAAGAACATGGTCAAAACATTTCAAAGTCAAAAACAATAATCACGAAATACAGACCGTATGTTTGTTTATTTGTTTGTTGGTTTGTTGTTTAACGCCGCACTCATTAATATTCCAGCTATATGACGACGGTCCAGACCGTGTGCGATGTGGTGGCCATACTGACAATCGGTTTTGAACCTCTTTAACAAATTGATGGGGAACAAACATATGAAGTTTCAGTTTCAGTTGTCCATTGTCATTTGAGAAGATGTTTACGGAAAAGTGCACCATGCCATAAGTTCACTTGACTTTCAGTCAGGTGAGCAAAAAATGAAATGTTATGATGAAAATATTTACCTTCCGCAACAGCGAATGCAAGTGAGCACAGTAAGACAGATGCAAGTTCAAGTCTCATGGTTCTGGTAGACACTTCTTATTTGGTCATTGGTTTGTCAACGTTGCAGTCAAGATGACGCTTTAAGTATTCCAGCAAGGAAGTGGATTGCTCTATGATATGTGATCAGCCAACGAAATAATTGTTTGTCATGAAGGGAAAGCCGGGTCTGACCCAGGGGCCGCATTCTGATTGGTTAGAGAGGGACTACGTGCCATTTCCCGGAGTCCATTTCCGGTGAAGGTCTGGGCGTTGTAATAAATTCCCTGTCTGACCTTGCGTGTAACTTGGGTAATCGTGAACTGCTAGAATCATAAATATTGAACATTCTAGTAAGCAGGCAACGAATGATGGAATAACTGAACAGTACTACCATGGAAAATGGGAAACATAAGTCAGGATGATGTCAGTCATCAATCCGTAGGGGAACGGGACAGGGTGTCGACCTTTCTGAAGCTCCGCTAACGGTACTGCTCGACATGTAGAGCACAGGGTGTCGACCTTTCTGAAGCCCCGATAACGGTACTGCTCGACATGTATAGGACAGGGTGTCGACCTTTCTGAAGCCCCGATTACGGTACTGCTCGACATGTATAGGACAGGGTGTCGACCTTTCTGAAGCCCCGATAACGGTACTGCTCGACATGTATAGGACAGGGTGTCGACCTTTCTGAAGCCCCGATAACGGAACTGCTCGACATATATATATAAGTCATTGGAGATAAATACGCAAATATTTTTCACATTTTAGGATATTTTCTCAATAAAAGTTAAACATTTCGTGACGTATGTTTGTCTTAATGTGTAGACTCGCCAATATGAAACAGATGAAATACACATGGTGGACTGTGTACGATGTGACAGGGGTGCTCGCCTGGACACAAGGAACCCTGGGTAGCAGAGTGAGACCGAGGCGTATTTATATTGTAATCTAGGCTTTTATAACATTGGCTTCTAATCTAACCACGCTGGCAATTGGTATCTTGTAACCAAGCCGTAAGAAAAACACACGGGTTTTCTCTTCAATTCACCTCTATGAAAAAACAAGAGTGGAGCAAGTTTACTCTGGCCAGCGCTTGCGTTGTCGGCTTCACTGTTCGGAGCTCTATTCTTTTGGTTTAAGAATTGAATTGTGCATGTGACGTCACACTCGAAAATGATTTCATGCATGATTTAATAACACACAGATCCGTCGACGTACTGTCCCTTTTACCGAAGAATTTTAACCACTGTGTCGTGCCACGGCAGCCACAAAGGTGTCCGAGGCGGGCGTTGGTGCCCTTGGAATTATGGCTGTCTCTGGACACAAGCATGGACAATCGGTGAAAAGTTTCAGGGTTGGGCGTTTATATCCATCAATCTCTTGCCATCTTGGAATTTTTGGTCACCGGGGGGATCTGGTGACAGAGTTTCTTATCTAAAAGTGTCAACTATACTTCGGTGAGTTAGTGTGCCAAGTAATAATTATGCATACAAGTACTAGTACACTGTTTTAGAGTTAAAAGATTCCACAGTCTAAACACACATTAAGTAGTCAGCCATCTTGAAATGGGCGGCCATTTTGAATTTTTTGTAAATTTATCAATAGTCGAAAACGTTCAGTAGTTGTGAATATCTTTTTAGAAACACAATATGGCTATTTCGTAATGCAACACATCTTTTTTTCATCATAAAGATTTAACCTCGTCTGAAATATGGAAGATATATTGATAATTGGTGGCCATATTTGGTTATGCAAATCAGAAATTTTTCCCAAACTATGATTACTTGGGACGTTTAGTATGTTGTTTTGGGGACCTTGAAGAATTGCATTGTGGTGAAATACATCCTGTTGCAATTTGTTCCAAGTGAAACCTTGTTTTTCCTGGACTATTAGCAGCATACTGCAGTCAAACAAAACAACGATGTTGCTCTTCCCGTGAACTAATATCTAGTCTCTGAAATTAACATTTTTTACAGATGAAAACAGTTGTTAAATTATGCAGTATAATAGAAAGGAGCCCAGAGACTCATTTTCAGATACGGATACTGCAATAGTATAGACTTGCCAAATATTATAGACTTGCATGGGCTGCATTAGATATAATTGTTTCAGGATCTGTATGACAACTCTTCCCATGGCAACGCCATCTCACGCTTCAAGCCGTCGATTCACGACGGTTACCGTATGAAGCTGTGTAACCAACTCGGTAAGCACTCCATTTCATGGCTTGCAGTTGCTCTTGTCTGCACACATTAGTGAGAGAAACAAAGTTCCAACATTTGCATCAGGAAACACCTCAACTCCAATAACCAGCGACACAGAACATCTTCTAGGTTTACGTGTGTTCGCTCGGCCCCAACAATGCACTTGTCGAATGTTTTCAAAGCAAATTAATATATACACTTAAATTGAATCTCATTTATTGCTGCATGGGTTTATGGGTAATGATACAAAGATAGGATAATAAAATGAGACTTAGTTAACTATAAATTGAAGAGTTTAGTTATCTTTTATCTTGTTTAGAACGTACTTTGTTGACGTAAGGGTGCAGGCACCGTAGGTGGGACAACCCGTTAGTTTGCCCTGTTCGAGAAGTTTCAAATCACGATACCGCTTATTAATTTAATTTAATTTTAAACTAATCTCTAATACTACACAAAGTTAGTCTTAAGCTCCGGATCTTAGTAATCAGGCATCAAACAAAGTAATAAAGTTTGCTCTACCCCCATGTGTAGCGTAACAAAATATAGTTTTGCCCTGAACTATTAGTGAATCAAATCAAGCGTCTTTAACAATAACAGTTCAGAGCAAAACTATACTCCATTGTACTACACGTTGTGTAAAAAAAGTTCAGGGCAAAATATTTTATTACGCTACACATGGTCTAAAGCAAACTTTATTTCTGAAGTACAAGGTGGATTTTATCACGCGATGATAATACGTTATATGTCCGTGTTCAATGTCATTATGTCCTACTGTATATGTACTTATTACAGTGTACACATGCTTCTAGGCGAGACCATCCTGGTCAATCAATAACTGTTATCATTTTAAATCTGCATGTCAACATACAAGGAAACAGTGTGTCAGACCGATTGGTCCTATTTCCAGCAGAGTGCTTCAGCGGTATTATGACTTCAAACCAAATTATAAAAGTCTTTATAATAATAGTTTATTGTTGTCAGTAGGTGATGCAGTTTTACATTGTTTTGTGAAAATCAAATAAATTTACAAAGTTAAAAAAGGTAACGCCATCTCACGCTTCAAGCCGTCGATTCACGACGGTTACCGTATGAAGCTGTGTAACCAACTCGGTAAGCACTCCATTTCATGGCTTGCAGTTGCTCTTGTCTGCACACATTAGTGAGAGACAACAGTAACAGTCACCTTAGTAGTTAAAAAATAGCAGGTGCCTAAAGACATGACTTACATACACATACAAAATGGAGGGGATGTTAGGAAAATATTCTGCAAATAAATCTGCATGTCAACATACAAGGAAACAGTGTGTCAGACCGATTGGTCCTATGGGTAAGGAACACGCAACGTGCGTAAATACGCCTTTCCGTTCTGTTAGCTGTTAGATAACACTTGCTGACACAACTTTCCCTGTTTTTAAATGTTAGTGGCGGACTAAATCACAAGGAATAACGCACATAAATAGAGGGAATAATAAATACACCGTTGTTTGATTGTTTGTTGTTTAACGCAGTATTCCAGATAAATGACGGTAAACAATAGTTTTGAACAGACAATCCAGTGATTGATATAATTAGCAACGATCCTGGCAGTCGAGGTCACATGACACGCCGCCAGCCAAGTCACCGAGCCTGACCACTGCCACGTTACGTCGGCCTCTTGTGAGAAGCTGGATCGGTTATCTCCCAAAACCCCTACATGCCATTTCCCCTTCAACCCAGTTCCCCTACAATTAGTTAAAACAACACGCGGCATTTACCTGTCTGGCATTATGAACTCACCTAAAGGAGAGATTAAGGTCTGGAGTAGAGGTAGTAGAAATGAAAGGGGTAGAGCTTTGGGGGATTGGGGGACTTAAAGGAAAGTTAAAAAAAAAAAATTAATGTAAGTGTAATGAAAGATGTCTGTATGATGAGAAGACAATTTTTAGAAATTACAAAAATAACAATAGGAAGAAACAATTATTACACTGAGAAACTGAGATGAGACGATTTACAGTTGAGATGAAAAATGAACATTTTATTATAATGCATTATGAATTTTGAAAAATGAACATTTTATTATAATGTATTATGAATTTTGAAAAATGAACATTTTATTATAATGTATTATGAATTTTGAATAATATCGTAATCGTAATTAAATATTTATCTCAATCTATTCGAGTTTCTTGGGTTGTTCCATTGTATGAAATAGGTAACAGACTAGGGATTAGCAGTGCCATGGACCGTGAACTTTGTTGTCTTAAGCTGTAGGGGAAATGGGATGTAGGGGTTTTGGGAGGTTATCGCCTCTAACCCTGAATCCCCAAGGGGTATTAATGCATGTGGACAGTGACTGGGAGAAGGGTGCCAATGTGCATATATAAACTGATGCGAAAACACACATAGAATGTGGCTTATATCCAATTTGTCAATCGTTAATTATAGATTATATATTCACTGTAAAATATGTAGATCTAAACGTGATTAGGAATGTGGGTAAATTCTAAACGGAATACATATTTGGTGTGTTCTATATGAACGCATTGCGGCCTAAACACATTGAATGAGCTATCGTCGCACACCCTAAGCTTCACCTAAACACAACATCCCCATTCTAAACATGTTCAGAATTGATCGGGTGGTCATGCTCGCTGACTTGGTTAATTTATCTCATCGTATCCCAACTGCGTAGATCGATTCTCATGATGCCAGTCACTGGATTGACTGGTCCAGATTCGATTAATTTACAGACCGCTGTCATATAGCTTCGCGTGGTCTTAAACACAGAACAAACACATGTTTAGAACATATGTGTACATGTTTGCAGCAGAGTGATTCGGCGGTATTATGACTTCAAACAAAATTATAA